AATGCCGTTGTCACATCCATTTGTTTCACTACCCATCCTTTGATGGTAGCTCCCGCGAGTAGGGTTCGCAGCGTCGTCGGCTTCACCACAAGAGCAAAAAATTCCTTGTAGTCCACCATCTCCTTCTGCTGGTACCCCTTCGCCACAAGCCTAGACTTGTAGCGCTCGATTTTGCCGTCGGCGTCGGACTTGATCTTGAAGAGCCACTTGGACGTAATCGCCTTACGACCCTCCGGTAGCTCCACCAATTCCCACATGCCGTTCTCCTCAATGCTCTTCAGCTCACTCTCCATTGCCTTCTTCGACTCCTCAGCATCACTACTCTCCAAGGCCTCCTTGAGAGCTGCTGGTTCCGCGGGCATCTCCACCGGACAGAAGAACGCGAAAGCAAACTCCTCGTACTCACTTTCCTCGTTATCTCCAACCATCATTGCCGCTCCGGCCAAGGCTGACTTGGCTGGCTTTCCCAGCACATCATAGATCAGCCTATTTGGGGCTTGGATTATCCTTTTACCCCTTCCTTCCTCCTCAGCTGCAGGGACATGAAGGCTCTCATGGCGTTGCTGCGGGGTGACTCGGATCCGTGGAGCATTCGTAGTGCGAGAAGGAAGTGTCGGTGCACGCTCGCTCACTTGCTGCACCTCCTCCTCTTCTTCCTCTGCATCCTTGGCCTCCTCTCCCCCATTCACAAGGGAAGATTGCCTTGTGGTGGTGCTGCCGCTGCTCAGCTCCAAAGGCAGCTCCACATGCTCCAAACCAGAACTCTTCACCTACCCAAACCGCACGCCTATCTTCGCCTCATTCTCCGCCTTCCAATCCTTATACATCAGGTTCTCCATGATTTTGCAGTCCCTTCTCACCAAGAATTTCTTGGTGAATGGGTCCCAAAGAAGCCACCCCTTGCTGTTTTGAGCCATGCCCAAGTGCACAGCCCATATCGCCTTGGCACCAAGCTTGTTGTGCCGAAGATGCTTAGGCACGAGCGCCATGCACATGCACCCGAACACCCGAAGCATATCCACCTTTGGCTTCCTTCCAATCCACTCCACATATGGCACCCATTTGTCTGCTCCCACATGAGTCAAAGCTCTGTTCTTGGCCACATACGCACTCCGCACCGCATCAGGCCAGAAGTAGTCGGGTAGCCTGGCTTCAATGAGCAACCCGCGTGCCGTCTCCGTGATTGTGCGGTTCGCTCGCTCGGCGATGCCGTTCATTGTAGGGGAGTATGGCATGGTAAGGGAGTGTCTTATGCCATTATTCGTCAGCCACAATCCAAACTCCTTGCTCAAGAACTCTCCCTCTCGATCGGTGCGGATTGACTTGACTAGCCGGTCTTGTTGCGGCTCCACCATCGGCAACCAATAGGTCTTCACCATTTCAGTCACATCGCTCTTCTTGGACAGCACGTACACCCAGTTCATGTGGGTGTAGACGTCCACAATCGTGAGGAATTACTCTGCTCCAGCAGCTCCAAGCTTCAGGGGAACGGGAAACGGGTGAACTTGGCTTGCATGCACGTCGGGCAGCCAAGTACTTCATCTGGCTCCCCCTTCACACGTATGCCAGCAACCATCTCATTCTTCACTAGCTACTGCAAGATGGGCAGGGCCACATGCCCCATTCGCCGATGCAAGGTGAGCCAATCACACTCCCCCGTAGCTGAAGTCAGATTGGAGAATGCCGCACTCGCAATAGTGCCCCACATGCTCTCTCCGTACTCCTCCTCCGCTGCTGCCTTGGGGTTCTCCTCACCCTTGTGCTGTTCCTTGGCTCCTGCACCACTCTCCTCAAGCTCACACTGCTTGCTGGTCCCTCCAGGTATGCACTTGTTGGACTTTTTTGCCATCGTTCGTGCCGTAGCCGCTACCAACCGCTTCACCCTTCGTGCTGACGCTTGCTGCCACTTGCCTCTCTTTAGGCATAGGGACCACAGGGATCTGCCACATCTCGTTGTAGACATCTCTATCCTTATGAAGGTCCCAAAGAACCCGCTCACCAATCCTTGCGGTGTAGGTCTTGGCTCCCTTCGAGCTCGTGTCCATGCCGGCCTTTTGCAACCGCCGCACGGAAATAAGGTTCGCAGCAAGGTTGGGCACCAAAAGAACGTTCTTGAGGCCCACCATCTTCCCATCAGCACCCTTGAACATGGCCTTGCCCATGCTTTTCACCTCTGCTCGCCGCCCCAAAGCCGATGTGACATGCTTCACCGGTGACGGTTCAAGTTCGGTGAGCAAGTCCGCACGAGGTGTCATGCTGTAGGTAGCGCCGATATCGATCACCCAATAGTCCAGGGAGTGTAGGGTCACCTTCCCCACAGAAGCAAGCTCCTCAAAGATTTCATCCTTCTCTGTTGCAGCCCGCGCTTGCGTGGACACGAAGAATTGAACCGGAAAGCGATTGTCCCTTGACTCGCTCTCGTTGTCACCGTTCTTCATATTTGCAGCACCACCTCCGCGACCGCCACGGCCTCCACGGCCTCTTCCTTTCCCTCCCCCTGCTCCTCTACCCTCTTGGCCTTGAGCAGGAGTCCATCCATCAGGGAGTTTGTAGCAATCGCGCCACATGTGTCCGCTCTTGTGGCAAAAATGACACTCGCCGTCGAACCGTCTACGACCGCGTCCGTAGTTCTTGTTTTCATTGCCATAGCTGCCACTTCCGCTGCCTCCATTGTAGTTGCTGCCTCCAAACCTTCCTCATCCTTGTCCTCTGCCCCTTCCACGACCATATCCCCAGCCGATGCTTGCTGCCCCGGCGCCATCTGAACCTGCAAACTCATGGCGGCGGAAATCCTCTTGAAGGATCGCTCACTTCACGTCTTCAAGCGAGAGGTGGTTGATGATGAGTGAGGACCATGACTCTGGGAGTAAGGCCAGCATCTTGGTCTTCTTTTGAAGCTCACTATAGTTGAGATCCGCTCCTTCAAGCCGCGTCAACAAGTCCAAGAATTTCTGCACCCCTTCTTCAACCGCTTCGTCTTCTTCAATTCGTAGTGCCGCCATTTGCCGTTCCAACACCACCGCTACTGCCGCTGTTGCAGGAGCGTGTACACCCTTGAGAGCAGCCCATGCCTTTGGTCCCTTCTCTGGTTCACGTTGGAGTGGCTTGATGTGACGGATTTGGCTACTCCCCAACGCTTGCCGAAGTAGGAGATAGCCTTGTGCGCTCTTCCGCACCCACGGGCTCTTCTCCGGGTCGTTCTCGGGGCGCTTCTCCATTCCTTCCATCACCTCCAGCAAGTCATAGTGTTCAAAGATGTTCTCCATCTTGAAGGACCATTCAGCGAAGTTGTCACCGTTGAACTTGTCAAGCCCAAACACCCTAGGCTCATCCCTAGGTGGGCCAAGACTTGGTTGCATGGGCGCCATGGCTGAATCACGGGGTTGGCCTTGAGCTTGGGCTTCTCCACTGCCACCAGCACCTCTGCCACCCCTTTTCTCAGGTCCAGCCATTGTCGAAACTGCTTCAAGGGGCTCTGATACCACTTGTTATAGTCACAATAGGCTTGAATGTGCCTAAAACAAAAGATAGAGTGCATAGTCGGTTTTCTGCACAGCGGCTTAAAACGGTGATAGCGTTCCGTTATCAGCTTCAAATGACTTGCTATAAATTGGATATGGAGCGACTTGATATCGCCTACAACAGGCAATTTCCATCACACGATTTCATCTAGTAATTATGACGCAATATTGGTTTGAACGAACGGCACTATGGCAGCCACTATTGACTTAGAACACAAATTAGGAAGAGTTACAAGTTGGGAATGACTCCGAGCCTCTACAAACCCCAAGAGCTGAAGTACAGTGATGTGGAACAGTGCCACACTATCCTCAGCCATGAAGGGTCTCGAAACTACCCTCCACAAGGGCCTACACCAAGAGAAATGTTACACTACATATTGTAATGTAACTATTCTCACTATCTTGAAGCTTACCCTTTTGGAGAACTTCGAAATCACATGAATCTTGAAACCATGGCTCTGGTTCTTCAAGATAAATTCTTCCTTGAGTTCTTGGAAGTCTGCTGCGCATACCTGCGACACGCCGAACGTTCCATACACGACAAAATAGAAAACCGCACACGACACGCAAACGACGATGTGACACGCGACTAGCGATAACTCGCTATTGACTCGACACACACATTCAAAATCATGCCTCATCATTCACACACTATTGTAAGCATGAAATATATATTATATCATGCCCTCATACCATTCCATGTACACACGCATGCACGCACACGGACAACAAGCTGAATGCAAACCGTAGGGTTGCACCAACAAAGACTGGAAAAACAAGTCCCTGCTCGTGCAGCCGGGGAAGGTCCTAGACGAGATAGGTACGATTCAACTGGTCCATTAGTTTTCTGGCGAAGAAGCGAAGGCCAGTGCGTTGGAATCGCGTCGGGTCCATGTCATAATGTATTTGCTGTCTAGCCTGCAGTGGGGTACTCTGTAGTGAGTACAACCCAATTTAGGGTTTGTTATTTGTATCCCAACTCTTGCTAGTGAAATCATTCTCCTTCCAATTCTCTCGACACTCAACTCTCTCGACATCCATGCTAGTACCTCGAACCCTAGCCATGGCTCCTAAGCCTAAGTCATGCTAGGATTCTCACATGGTATTAAGAGCTACAGTTCCTAGGACCTCACATCAATGGGCCCACCACCTAATGCCCTGCTAGCCTAGGCCCCGGCCCGTCGCCCCTTGGCGTCGCCCCTAGCCCCTAGGCTCGGCCCCTTGGCCCCGTCGCCCCTAGCTGTGTCCCTCGGCCCCGCTGGCCTCGTTGACTCCGTCGCCCCGCGCCCGGCCCAGTACCTCGCCCCGTGACCGGCCCGTACCTAGCCCGCGCCCGGCCCGTACCTAGCCCGCGCCTGGCCCGTACCTAGCCCGCGCCCGGCCCGTATCTCGACCAGCGCCCGGCCCGTACCTAGCCCGCGCCCGGCCCGTACTTAGCCCGCGACCGGCCCGTACCTAGCCCGTCGCCCGGCCTCGTACCTAGCCCGCGCCCGGCCCCGTACCTGCCCAGCGCCCGGCCCCGTACCTGCCCAGCGCCCAGCCCCGTACCTGCCCAGCGCCCGGCCCCGTACCTGCCCAGCGCCCGGCCCCGTACCTGCCCAGCGCCCGGCCCCGTACCTGCCCAGCGCCCGGCCCCGTACCTGCCCAGCGCCCGGCCCCGTACCTGCCCAGCGCCCGGCCCCGTACCTGCCCAGCGCTCGGCCCCGTACCTGCCCAGCGCCCGGCCCCGTACCTGCCCAGCGCCCGGTCCCGTACCTGCCCAGCACCCGGCCCCGTACCTGCCCTGCACCCGGCCCCGTACCTGCCCAGCGCCCGGCCCCGTACCTGCCCAGCGCCCGGCCCCGTACCTGCCCAGCGCCCGGCTCTGTACCTGCCCAGTGCCCGGCCCCGTACCTGCCCAGCACCCGGCCCCGTACCTGCCCAGCGCCCGGCCCCGTACCTGCCCAGCGCCCGGCCCTGTACCTGCCCAGCGCCCGGCCCCGTACCTGCCCAGAGCCAGGCCCCGTCCCTAGCCCAGCGCCCGGCCCCGTACCTAGCCGCGCCCCTCGGCCCAACTGGCCTCGTCGCCCATAACTATGGCCCCTTGCGACCTGCAGCCCCTAACCGCGGCCCCGTCGCCTCTAGCCTCGGCCCCTCGCAACCCGTCGCCCCTAGCCGCGGTCCCGGTGCCCTGTAGCATCATGAAGGGTAAGGAGATGGCAAGAGGGGGTTCTTCCTGCCTGCGTGCCCTGCAGTCGCACGCGCAGCTCCGCCCCCGCCCCCCTCCATGGGGACGGGGGGGAGAGGGTGTGAGGGGGTGGTGGATATGCCTCAGCAGCAGCAGCTGCCGCCGCGCCTCCTCCTCTCTCAGTCCCTGCCGCACCTTGTGTTGGGAGAGGGGGGGAGCTTGGAAGTTCAGGGGGAGTCAGGAGGGGATCTGCAGCACCAGCCCCCCCCCGCCCCCCCTTTCTCCTCCATCCTTGGGGGGTGAAGGAATGTGGAGCGGCAGTGGGGGGGAGGGGATCTGCAGCACCATCCCCCCTCCCCCCCCCTCCCTTCTCCTACCTTCCACTGCTGCGGGTGCAGCAGTGGGGGGGAGGGGATCTGCAGCACCACCCCCCCCCCCCCCCCTTCTCCTACCTCCCCCTGCTGCGGGTGCAGCAGTGGGGGGGAGGGGATCTGCAGCACCAGCCCCCCCCCCCCCCCCCGCCCCTTCTCCTCCATCCCCTGCTGCAGGTGCAGCAGTGGGGGAGGGTATGGGGGTGGCGGGTGTGTGAACCGTCCCCTACTCCTCCTCCTCCTCCGTCTCCCATTGCTGCAGCTGCCACTGAGGGGGGTGGGTGTGTGGGAGCCGAGGGAGTGGTGCTAGGGGGGTGACGTGGGAGTGGATCTAGGGGTGCAGCAAGGGGTGTGTGAAAGGGGGGTGGGACAGTTGGGGGAGGTTGAGCGGAGGCTGCCATCTTGTCGTCCGCAGCACCTGTAGTCCGGGGCTCTGCTGCTAGTAGCTCAGAGAGCCTGCTGCGCCTGTCGCCCATGGGTCCGTTGCTCCTGCCGCTCAGAGTTAGCCGCAGAGCCAGTTACTCTTGTAGTCCGGGGCTAGGGCCCTTGCTCCGGTAGCCACAGTGCGTGCCGCTCCTGTTGCCCGTGTGTCTGCAGCATCAGTCGTCGCCTCCTATCTCCTCTCCTCTCACAGTCCAGCCTCCTCCTCCTCACTTGCCCTTTGTGAATGCCTCTAGCTTTGCTTGTACTTGTGAACCTGCTCTATGACTGCTTGCTCTGTTGATTATACCCCACTTTGACTATGGGGGTGTGTCAGAATGTATTTGCTGTCTAGCCTGCAGTGGGGTACTCTGTAGTGAGTACAACCCAATTTAGGGTTTGTTATTTGTATCCCAACTCTTGCTAGTGAATTCATTCTCCTTCCAATTCTCTCGACACTCAACTCTCTCGACATCGATGCAAGTACCTTGAACTCTAGCCATGGCTCCTAAGCCTAAGTCACGCTAGGATTCTCACAGTCCAAAGCGCACACGGTGGAGGTCGTCGAGGCGACGGTAGCAGCGGGACACGGAATGGTCAGGACGCCAGCAGGTAGTGCCAGTACCAGGGCCAGTCCGGATCTGGCACCCGCAAGGACCCATGTCGCACCCACTGCCAGCTGAGCCGCTGCTATGGCTGGCACTCATTGGACCCTCAGGTCCCCATTACCGGGAGTGCTGCAGCTGATGTCGCTGCGGCTGGCCCTGCTGCTGCAGAACTTGAGCAGACGCCATGGCACGAGCTAGAAACGGATTACGGGTACGGGTACGGGTACGGGTAGCAGGTACGGGTAGCGGGTACGAGTAGCGGGTACTGGTAGCGGGTACGGGAAGCCGTGGGGCCTTCTAGCTGGGGGCCGCAGGGCCTACTAGCTGAGGGCCGCGGGGCCTTCTAGCTGGGGGCCGCGGGGCCTTCTAGCATGGGTAGCAAGGGTAGTACGGACACCACGGGTAGCACGGGTAGTACGGGTAGCTCGTGTAGCACGGGTAGCATGGGTAGCACGGACGGCATGGGTAGCAGGGGTAGTCTTGTGCGGTTGAGTGCGGTTTGATGCAGTGAAGTGCGGTTCGGTGCGGTACCGGGCGGATCAGCGGAGTTGAGTGCGGTACTGGGCGGTTCCGGGGTGCGGGGCGAGTACAAGGTGTTGCGGCAGGTAGCAGGTGGGGTGGTGGGTACAGGGTGGGGCGGCGTGGGGCGGCGGGTACAGGGTGGGGAGGCGGGTACAGGGTGGGGCGGCGGGTACAGGGTGGGGCGGCAGGTACAGGCTGGGGAGGCGGTTAGCAGGTGGGGCGGCGGGGAAGGGGACAGGGAGGCGAAGGGAGGCGACGGGGAGGGGTACGCGACGGGGAGGGGAAGGGGTGGCGACAGGGAGGGGAATGGGTGGCGACGGGGAGGGGACGCGACGGGGAGACGATGGGAAGGGGACGCGACGGGGAGGGGAAAGGGAGGCGACGGGGAGGTGACGGGGAGGGGATGTGACAGGGAGGTGACGAAAGGCGATGGGGAGGGGACGTGACGGGGAGGTGACGGGAATGCGACGGGGAGGGGAGGCGACGGAGAGGGGATGCGACGGGAAGGCGACGGGGCGGGGACGCGACGGGGAGGGGAACGCGACGGGGAGGCGACGGGGAGGGGACGCGACGGGAAGGTGACGAGGCCCTACGAGCGACGGGGCGCATCGGGCATTGGGGCTACGGGCGACGGGGCTGGACTAGCCCGTAGCCCTTTGGTAGCAGACGCCAGGTCGACCCAGCGGCGGCGGGTAGCAGATGCCAGGTCGACCCAGGGGCTACAGGCTACGGGCTTCACTGACGCCAGAGCAACCCTGTCAGCTGTGGCGCAAACCAAGCTGTCGACGTAGACGAGGACGAAGAAAGGAGTGGAGCTAGAACGAACGAACAGTGATGGGTCAGCAGACGAAGGACAGAACCCGAGGTCGGCAAGGGTGGAGCGAAGAGTGTCGTGCCACTTACGAGGCGCCTGTTGTGAGGATTGAGGTCGAAGTTAAGAAAGTATAATATGATCGCTTGGGTACAACACGAGGATATATATAGGCACGAAACAAGGCAAGGTAACCAACTGTTACGAGAAGGTTCCTAGGTTCATGAAGCATCTGGAACGGAATCTTCCCGCTTTCGGTAGAATCAAGTCGGCGGAATCATGCGTACGCAAAGTCACGCGGAATACACCGAAAGGAAACAGAATTCGGTGCTAAAACTATAATGGCTATAGTAAAGCAACGAATTGAGGAAAACTAGCACAAATGATAATAGAAAATAAAAATAAGCAAGAATGGGTAAGCACGGTCGATGTACTCTCACACGTTCCCCCCTGAATGCTGAGTGGCATAAGAAACACCCTGATTGACAAGATAATCATTGAGAGCACAACGTGCGTTGCCCATATCAGCTTATGTAACCCAACTGTCCTCCGATGGGTCGTATCCCTTTCAACATATCAGAAACTCGAGCTAGTTGCTGCGTCGGCGTCGATGAGCGAGAACACGTTCCACCTCGTACTCTGGTTCATCCTGTACAAGAACAGGTGGCGGTGGCGGTAGTTGCCGTCCCAGGTACTGTTGGTTGGGGTCCTTGTAGGGCTTCAGTAGCTGAACATGGAAAGCATTGTGAAGCTTCCACGTGGTAGGTAAGCGCAAGCCGAATGTTACTGGTGTCACCATGGCTTCAACGCAAAAAGGACCAAAGAAGAGAGGCCGGAGCTTGAATGGTAGATGGGATCATTCCAAGTTGCGAGTGTCCAAAAGAACCTCAGCTCTGACTGCTACTGAGTGATCACGAAGCTGTCGATTGGCATACTGCTTCTGGGAGTTCTGCATCGTGTTGCAGAGTCTTCTCCCGTAGCTGCTGCATGGTGGTGACGAAGTCATGAGCGGCCTGGATGTGTGCCGGTGAGCTTGGTTGAGCTAAGAGGTTCATGTCCGTAGCACAGGAAGAAAGGTGATTTCCCCGTGGACGCATGGGAAGCGTTGTTGTAAGCGAACTCTAGGGTTGGTAACTCTAGATCCCAGTGGCTGGTGTCGTCTTAGTTGGTGCCGCTGTCGCAGGGAAAAATGTCGGTGTCGATGCCGTTGCTGTTGCACTCGGCGCTACGTTCATTTCTGCTACGGCGACAGCTGACTGGTTCGCGAGCGGAGCCTCGAGTCGTTGAAGCGGCGCGCGCGTCTGCTCCTGCTCGGCACGAAGAGCTGCGATTTCCTGTCGAAATTTGTCGTCGCTCCCCTCCATGCCTATTTGGTTAACCACGCGGGGGGGGGGGGGGGGGGGGGTTTTAAAATCAACACGGAACTGGTTTTAACGTACCCGAATCGGCGGGATCAACGATAAAATTCGGTAAAATAAATTCGGTGGAATCACGCGCACGCAAAGTCACGCGGAATAAATCGAAACGAAACAGAATTCGGTGCACGCAACCTTATTCGGTGCTATAACTATAATAACTGTAGTATAGCAACGAATCTAGGAAAATTATCACAAATGATAATAGAAAAAAAAAAATAAGCAAGAATGGGTAACCACGGTCGCTGTACTCTCACACCTGGCGGAGACTATAGACTGGTCGTCTTAGGCTCCACTGGGTCCCAGGCGAGAAAGAGCTAGTGAAGCCTGGAGGACGGCGCAGCCAGATCTCCTCATGCAGGTTGCCCTGTAGGAACGCAGTGGAGAAGTCGAGTGAGTGCAGCTCGTAGTCTCGCTGTGCTGCGACGTGTAGTAGCACCCGAAGAGTGGTCATCTTCGGGGTGCGGGAGAAGGTATGAAAGAAGTCTACCCCCTCACACTGACTGAAGCCTTTTGCCAAGTAGCGCGCCTTGAAGATAGGCAGAGATCCAGGCAGTCGCTTCACCTTGAAGATCCACATTCCATCAATTACGTTCTCCCAGGAAGGGGGAATTGCGTCGACGTACGTGCCGGTGGATCTCCAAGACACCATCTCTGCATCCATGGCTGCTATCGAAGGAGAGGCCTATGGTCCCGACACTCCCTCAGTGTAAGTGCGAGGAGTCGGGATGACTAGAGACGACCGTGACTGTGGAGGAGAGAACACAGCCAGAGACGAGTCCGGGGTTGGAAACGTAGGACCGTAAGCAGGAGGAGATAGTGAGCGGCCAGGAGGAGAAGAAGGGTCCGATGACCAGTCACAATTGGCAACGACCACTGCGGTAGTGGATGTTGCGGCGGCTGCAGCCGCGCCTACTGCTGATGCTACTGCTGCTGATGCGGTGGCTGCTGTTGCTTCTGCTGCTGCGATGGCTGCTGCTGCTGCGGTGGCTGCTGCTCCTGTGCCAACCGCTCCTGCTCCTCTCACTATATTTGTTGAAGATGCTGAAAACACGTCAATTAGTGTACGGCAAGCTGAGCAGGCGGCGTCGAGTTAGTGCCTCCAGCTCCAACACCCCCATAACCAGATCCAGCACCCTTAGAGTCAGCACCTCCAGCTCCATCACCTCCAGCCCCAGCACCCTCTGAATCAGCACCTCCAGCGACAGCACCTCTAGCTCCAACACTCCCTGAACTAGCACCTCCAGTGTCAGCATCTCCAACTCTAGCACCCTCATAACCAGCACCTCCACTGCCAGTACCCCCAGCACCAATACCGCCAGTGCCAGCACCTCCAGTCCCAGTACCCGCAACACCAGTTCCCCCAGAACAAGCACCTCCAGCACCAGAACCTCCAGTAGCAGCATACCTAGAGTCCACTTTGACCTGCCGCGGTAGTACCAAAGGCTACTGTGGAGATTGTGAAGACCATTATGGTGAGGGAGACGACATCGGACGTGCTACCGCAAGAAGAGGGGTGGCGTGAGACACACCTGACGGGGAAGGACCTGGGTGGGGTGGACATACCGGAGGAGCAGGACCAGGAGGAGGAATGGGAGCTAGGAAGTGGGGAGGGGAAGAAACCGGGATACCTCAGTGAGGGTAGTGGGCGTAGGAGGACACGGACTCATCTAAGGTGACATCGTGGGAGTCGAGGAACCGGTTGAGGGGCAGATGGTAAAACGTCAAGTCAGGGGCGTCGACCGGGAATGAAGGAAGACACTGGGGAGGGTGTGAGACAAGAGCTTGTCTGCAGAGGTATCGTGAACATGCGCAAGCCAACCCCAGACATGAAACTTTGACTCAATACCAGGGGACCCAGTCCAAAGATAGGTCGGTGAAACCTCCGGGCAAAAGACACATGGCCAGAGTTTCAGCTGGTGGGTGGCGTAGCGAACCACGTAGGACCAAAGAAAATGGGGCGCATGGGCATGGATCATGGAGGTGCGGGCGATCTCCATAACCAAGCCTATGCGGCGCTCAGCAAACCCTTTCTGCCGTGGGGACTACGGAAGCGTCCAGGACTGGATGATGCCCTACTCGCGACAGAACCTGGCAAGCACACCGGAGCAAAACTCACCCCCACTGTCGGAATAGAGATAAAGGACACAACTACCACACTGGGCACTAGTAGCCAGCAACCACGGGATCAGGGTAGAATTCACGTCGAACTTCTGCCACACGGGGAACACTGTCGTGTAGCTGGTGAAATCGTCGACGACCACCAAGAAGTAGTTCTTCCCTTCGGGCCTGGGGCAAGGGGTGGGGCCCCAAACGTCCAAGTGGAGATTCTGGAGGGGCGCGGAGGCCATTCAAAGGGAAGAGGGGTGAGAGGTGGCACGCAGCCTACCCTCGACGCAAGGAGTGCATGCCAGTGCAGGCGAAGGAGGGAGCGACGCAAATACGAACGGGAGACCTGAGACAAGACAGTGGCTTGACATGTGAGGCGTGGAAGGGACAGGTGACCAAGAAGGTGGCCACAGGACTGTCGGGTGAGAGAGCGACCGACAAGAGCACAACGCAACAACCAGACCAGCCGCAGCTGTCAACGGGAGCTGCGTGTTGGCCCCGTCCTTGCTTGGGCGGAGCCGACTTCGCAGTCGGGTGCGCGGGGAGCGCAACCGACCTGCTGCAGTGGGCGACGCCGTCTTGGGCGCCTGGACGCTGACTTGGGCGTCTGGAAGGCGTCCTAGGCGCCTGGACGCCGACCTGGGCGTCTGGACGGCGTTCTGGGCGCCTGGATGCCGACCTGGGCGTCTGGACGCCGTCTTGGGCGCTTGGAAGCCGATCTGGTTGCCCCAGTTACCCAGGCGACGGGCGTTGCGGGGTGCGCGAGAGTTGCCCAGGAGGTTATTGCGAAGCCGACCTCGGTGTGGTATCTCGAGGTCGACATTCAGGATCAGGTGCAGTCGTGGGCACATGGTCATCTTGGTCTCTGTGTTGTGAACGTGACGAGGCACAGCACGCCAACCAGCTGCGAGCACCTGCAAAGCAGGTGCACTGCTGTCCTGCGGATGCAACGCGGTACAGCACGCCTTGCAGCAGCGTTGTCACGCCTTCGACTTGCAGCGTTGGCAGACCGCGACTTTGCACTGCTGGAGCGCGGTCGACCATGCAGTGCTGGAACGCGGTAGACCGTGCTGTGCTGGTAGTCGGCCTGCATGCTTGCTAGCATCTGATGTAGTCCATTGTTGCTTTGCATTGTGCACCATTGTTGTCAATCGTTGCTAGTGAAACTCTTGCCAAATTTCCCCGTGAATGCGCAAGCAGTGATGAACACGAGCAAACAACTAAGGAACGCAGAGATCACCCCTATCACCCCGTGCCTTTCCCCGTAGTCTAGCTCCTGCTGTACGAGTAATCTCCGCAGGAGCTACCTAGGGGGACGCAGTGTGTAGTGTGAAGAGACCTGAGCGGGGCTCTCATGAAAACGTGGCAAGGCGTGACCCGATCGCAGCGTTCGTACACGTCGTGAACCTCGCGTGTGCAGGGAAAGTGACTATGACCCCATAGTCCTGAAGGTGCCCAACACCCACCAAGTTCATGGAGAACGAGGGGATGTGGAGACCAATGAGGGAACAAAAGGGGACGTCCGGACACGGGAGGGTGATAGAGGTGCGAGTGACGGCTGGTCCGGAAGTAGGATTAGCCAGGGCAACTGGGACTGGAGCAAGAAGAGGTATGAGAGTGGTGTGGTTGCGGAAGAAGCACTGAAAAGCCCCAGATTCCAGCGTGAAGGAGAGCGACGCGCCAGCCGTGGGTACACCTAGGCTAGTAACTACACAAGCACCTACACTAGCTACAGGCAAGCATCCTAGCCTAGGAAAACGCGAGTAATCAGGTCCATCATCACTAGAGTCAACATAAGGATATAAGACATGGGCAGAATACCAAGCAGCATGCAAAGCAGACACATCCATAGTAAACACCTGGTGGCCCCGGCGGAGCAGTGACTCCCACTGCGGGGCAGGTGCGTCGAAGCCGAACGCTGGTAGTAAAGGTCGGTGAGGCGGCCAAAGCACCAGTCGGTGGAGTGAGCACCCCCGCATGCCTGACCGAGGCGTGAGCCAGTCAGCAGCACGTACGGGCATGGTCGTGCAAGACCCCACTGTTGCTGAGGAACCCCCTACTGAGGTAGCTGTGGGTGCTGCTGCGGCTGCTGCTACTGCTACGTCGACATAGTGAGGAAAACCGTGAGGAAACAACCACAGGAGGAGGCACAGGCGTCGGTATGGGCAGCAGTGGGGGCAGCAGTACTAGTGGCAGTACGGGCAGCAGTACGGGCGGTAGTACGGACGACAGTATGGGGGGCAGTACAGGTCGCAATACGGGCAGGAGTACGGACGACATGACGGACGCTAGTACGAGCGGTAGTACGGGTTGTAGTCCGGGCGGCTAGGGAGGATAAATTGCGGGCGGGTGCGGTTGAGAGCGGTGGAGTACGGTCGAGTGCGGTTGAAAGGGGTCGAATGCGGTGGGGTGCGGTCGGGTGCGTGCGAGGCCGCGGGGCCTTTTGACGGGGCGACGGGGTGCGTACGGGGCGCGGATGCGTACGAGTGTCAGGGTACGGGGTGCAAGCTCGGGGCGTACGACGGGCTACAGGCGACAGCGGGTCGCGGGGCGGTGGGCCCATGGGAACGAGGTAACTTGCGCGGGCGGCTTGCTGTACACACGGTTGCGGCGGCGGCTGCGTGTGCGTGGGTGCAGCTGCACGTGCTGTTGCTGCGCATGTGGTTGCAGCGGCGTACGGGTAGCTTCTGCTGCTCGTACGGCTCTAGCACGTGCGGCTGCTGCTGTGTGCGCGATTGCTGCGCGTGGGTCGGGGCGCTAGCGGAGGGTTTCCTTTAGGAAGGGGGTAGTCTGAGGAGTTTTTCAAATTCGTTAATGCGAGCCTAACCCCACCTCGTACAACATTGTTCACGGGGTCGACCATTCTTCGCCCGTTACCGGATAACTGCTTTCGCCATCGCTTGCCAAACTACTGTTTTACAAGGCGGAGTCGCCTACGCGTCGGGAATAACCCTAACCTCGCTGCCAACACTGCATACGCGACCTCACAACACCGTGTTTCCGTTTGCATGTCTTAGCTATTGAGTTTTCGCTCACACTTATGTTCTTTGAGCCATTAGTTCAATCCCACCTTTAATGGTTCAATTTGCAATAGTAACAAACTCAAAACACTTTCAGAACTCGTAACATATCCCATGGAATGGTTCTAGTGGCGGACCTATCGAAGGTTGGTGCGTGCTTCGAGTTTCCCCAAGGAGGGGATGCTCTGAGCATCTGCTCAGAGCAGGGCGCGTTCTTGATTCTCACGTCATGCTGCTGCTTCCCTCTACCTCGCGCCGCCGAGCTGTAAATTGCACAACACTCCCCTCCGAGTCGCCCTACAGGGCTGCTCATCTCGTCGCCAAAAGGCGTACGGTGTGCCCCCCGCCAATCAGAGGGCCGCTGAAGTCGCCGAGCGACATGCGATGTTCATCGCGAATGCGTCGCCCACATGTAATTTCCAGGTTGGCGCGGCAGCCCCTTCCCCACCAGGGTTTCACCGCGGCGTTGCTCGGCGGAGCGATAAGGCAGGCGGTGTGTGGGCGGGCGATGGGGGACGCGGCGGAGCAGATGGGGGTGGCACGGTGGGATTGTTGCTCCGCCTCTGCGTCCGCCACTCCGCGACCCTCACGCCACCCCGCGGAGTCAGGAAGTGCGCTGGGCTTTACGCGAGCGCAGAACATCGAGTCGCTGTTGAGAGGAGGGGGGGAGAGGCGAGGGGAGTGGAGGGGCATTTAATGGAGACGCGTGCGGCAAGCACCGACGCCGCTTTGCTCATCGCGTCTCGCCCCTTCATACACCACGCCTTCCCCGCCTGCCGCCAAGTCCTGCTGCTGCCGCCACCCACTGCGCTCGCCCTCTCTCGCTCACCCACTACGAGAGCAACGACGGCGCGTGTGGCACGGCGAGAGCGCGGTAGTGCGAGAGGGCGCGAGGAGCGGCGAGAGCGTGATGGAGGACGCGAGTGACGCACGCGTTGGAAGAGGCATGGCTTGGAGCGAGGAGCGAGACGAGTGGGCGATGTCAGGGAGCGAGGGCGAGGGCGATGCGATGCGGCGAATGGGGCAGCTGGCCCTGGCGGACGTGACGCGCCTGCTGCTGGACGGCGATGAGGGCGACGCGCGTGAGGGAGAGGCGGGTGACATGGGGGGAGGGAACAGCGCAGGAGGAGCAGTTGAGGGCGGCGAGGGGAGGAAGGAAGGCGGGCAGTGGACTGTGGAGGAAGGCGAGGCACGTGATGGAGGAGGCAAGGCACGTGATGGAGGAGGCGAGGCACGTGATGGAGGAGGCGGGAGCTGCAGGCTAGGCGAACAGGGAAAGCAGGGCGAGCAGGCAGAATGGGCGGGTGGGAGCACAGCTTGGCCGGCAGCAGCGACAGCACCCAGTGACAGCAAGGGCGTGGCAGGCGGGAATGATCCGGCTGCTCTCGGTGCTGTTAGTCGCGAAGCAGCCAGCAACGTGTGTGCCGATTCATTCAGTCCCTCTACCGCCCCTGCTACCCCTGCTGCCTCTTCTGCCCCTACTGCCGCGGATCCAGACCTTGCTGCCGCTGCCACGAGTGCCACTGCTCTCGCTGTTGCTGCTGATGCTGCCCGCGGGGACAACCAAGCTACTGCGGAAGCCACTGTGGCAGGCACAGGGCGCCGTGGTGCAGCGGTGGAGGGCATGGCAGCAGAAGGGGGGGCGGATGACTGGCTGCATCTGCTGCACGACGACGCCCACTGGGACCTGCTCCCCGCCTTCTCCCTGCCGCCCCTCTCCCTCCCTCCCCTGCATCTGCCCGCCTGCCCTTCCATGCACGCCGCTCCACCGCACCCTACCGTCCACAACCGCATGGTGGCAGACCTCTCTCAGATCGGCTCGTCCGGCGACCTGCTCGACGCCGCAGGGGACGCCCCCGTGCTGCCCGCCAGCCCTGCCCTCGGCGGCACACTGTGCTGCAGCCCCGACGGCGCTGCGTGTGGGTCGGGCGTGTGGCACACGTTGGGGGCGCGCCTGGGCTCTGGGCTGCCCAGCGACGGCAGCGGCAGTGCTGGCGCCGGGGGCATGGGCAGCGGCACAGGGGCGAGGAGTGGTGGTGCAGGCGGCAGTGGCAGTGGGAGAGGCGGGGGCGATGCAGAGCGAACGGGAGTGGCGCGTGGCAGCGCAGCAGCAGAGGCGATGAGCAAACGGGGTAGGGCAGTGGCAGCATCAGTGGAGCCAGGGGGAGGGGGAGACGAGATGGGGGAGGGCGTGGCGGGCAGGGAGCAGGGGGAAAGGGGTTGGCCGGCAGGCGACAGCGAGGTGGAGGGGCCGTTTGCTGCGGCCCTTGTGACGTGCGTCCACTGCTCCTCCCTGCTTCAGGTCTGCACCCTCCTTCGATTCTCTCCTTTGCCATTGTTCTTTTCCCTAACCTTGTCTTTCTTTCCTTCCTCCTATTCTCATGCCACTGCCCTCATCACCCCATCACCCCATCACCCCATCACCCCATCACCCCATCACCTCATCACCTCATCACGTGTCCTACCATCATCACCCCGCCCCCATCTCACTCGCACCCCCTCAGGTCGACATACCTGCCGCCATCCCCTTGGCGGCCATCTGCACACTCTTCTGCGGCCACTGCTCCGCGCTCCTCGCGCTGCCCTCCACCGGCCTGCCCACCATCACTCGCACGCGCTGCTCTCGCGCGCTCACACCACCTCATGGCGCCGGGGTGCACGTGGCAGCTGCCGCTGCTGGCGGGGGGGCGAGGGGGGCCCACAGAGGTGCGCTCAGCAGTGGCGCGCCGCCAGGGGCGCTCGCCCCGCTGGCTGGTGGGCGCACTGTGCACGCGTGTGGTGGTGAGGCGGTGGCAGCGCCGGTGGACTCCGTTGACCGCACGTGGCGCGACGGCAGCCCCACACCCACAGCGGGCGACAGCGCCAGGCTGGCACGCACGCCACGCCGCGTGCTGCCTGCTGTGCTCCGCAGGGCGGTAGCATTGGTGGGGAGTGGCAAGCGGGGCCAGGTGGCTGCTGCTGGGGAGATGGGGCTGCAGGAGGGCATGCACCATGAGGTATGTGCCAGGTGGCCGCCTGAGTGTTTCCTTTCGCACTCCTCCTCCTCCTCCTCCTCCTCCTCCTCCTCCTCCTCCTCCTCCTCCTCCTCCTCCTCCTCCTCCCCTTCCTCTCCTACCCTTCCTCCTCTATCTCTCTCTCTCTCTCTCTACTGTCAGACCCCCCCTCTTTCCGTTCTATGTCGACTCCCTTCCAGTCGTTCTCATCGGCCCCTCGTCCAATCCCCCCTGCAGCCACTCCCCCCGCGTCTGCACCTGCCCGCTGCGCCCCGCTGTGCGACCGGCCTACTGCACCCCTCCCTGCCGCTCACGACGGCCCACCTCACTGTCGCTGCTGACTCGCCAGAGGCGGCACCGGGCAGCGATGGAGGGGTTGGCGGGGCGGGGAGTGCGGCGGACAGCAAGAGGGCGCAGCGGGCGCTGAGGAAGCGCAAGCGAGCCGCCACTCTCACTGGTACGCCCGCCCACTACTCTTGCTCGTGCCTCTTTCTCCCCTCTGCACGTTCCAGCAGCTCGTGTTCACTCTCCCTCGCTGCATGCCCGGCACGTGTACCCATTCATCGCATGGCATGTGCACCCTCTCATGGCATGGCAGGGTCGAAAGCAGTGGCAAGGGAGGGGTCAGAGGAGGTGGCTGATGGCAGCAGGGAGGAGGAGAGCTGCAAGGGGGGAGAGCAGAGGGGTGGCAAGGCAATCAGCAAGGCAGCAGGGAGAGAGGGAGGAGCCCCTGTGAAGAGGCATCGCAAGGCGTCCACCTACAACCTCTTCATCAGGTGCTCCTCTTTCTCCATCCACAACTCTCCACTTCTCCCTCCTCTGCACTCTCTCCACGTGCCTGAAACCTGCTCTGCTCTGTCCCGTCTCTGCCTGTCCCTCGCGTGCCTCTCTGGCCACCTGCCCTCCGCCCCGCCTTGCCGTGTGCAGGGATGAGATGATGCGGCTGCGCGCGGGCAACCCGGACATGGACCATCGCGAGGCCTTCAAGGAGGCCGCCAGGCGGGTGGGTCTTGGGGGGTGGGTCATTGAGCTGTTGTGTGGGGGCCATGTGCTGTGCATTGAGCTGTTGTGCCCGCATCGTTCGTATCAATCTGTGCTCTCACAAACTGTGCTCCCCGCATTGTATCTCATGGTGGTTCTTCTCCCCACTGCTTTGCATCGCCCCTCTCCGCACTGACATGGCCCTCCCCTCCCCTCACATGCTGCCCTGCTATGCTCCCGGCTGTGCAGTGGGGCAGTGCAGCAGAGAACGTGCGCGGCTCACATGCGCTGGCAGCAGCAGCCAAGGCCAGGGCGCTGCTGCTCTACCCCATGCACGCCCCCCCCATGCACGCGCCCCCCACACCCTGCTCACTGCTCCCGCCCACTGCTGCTGCCGCTACTGCAGCTTCTCTGCCTGGCGCACAGGTGGGAGCAGCGGTGGTGGGTGGGGGGGTGGTGGGGCAGCAGCGGGTGCGGGTGGAGGGGCAGGGAGGCTGCGAGCGGGGCGAGGCGCATGTTGGCAGTGCGGGCTTGGTGGCCGGGGTGCGTGGTGGTGGCAGGGAAGGGCGGTGGGTGGTGCGGGGTGAGGAAGAGACAGGCCGGGCAGGGGTAGGTGAGGTGGCAGCAGCAGCAGAGAGGGTGGTGGGGGTGTGGTGGGGCGCTGGCTGTGGCGTGGACAGGGGGGCACGCAGTGATGGGTGGGAGGAGGGCGGCCATGTTGATGGATTGGGATGTGTGCCCCTGGAGATGGGGAGGGGGAGGAATGGAGGCGGTTTGAGCAATATGGTGGGTGAGAGACATATGCAGGTAGGCGGGTGGCACATGGAGCAGAGGGAGGAGCAGGCAGGGGGTATGGTGCATGGGCTGGCAGGCGAGGCAGCAGCAGCCTATCCCCTGGAGCAGCACGTGTGGGAGGTGGAGCGCAGTGAGCAGCAGCAGGCGCCACAGGTGCTGCACAGCGATGCGTACCGACGGCTGGCTGCAGGCATCAGCAGCAAGCTCATGTCATCCGCACTTCCAACAAACACGTGAATGTGAACGTGCCAGCAACCGAGGGCACAGTTTTGGGGGCAGCACCACCAGTACCGTTTTGTTTATTTCTCATTTGTGTGCTACATGTACGAACAAGCCAGGGTGATACCTCAGAGATGGGTTGGCCGATTCCCCATACCGTGCTCTTGTTTGTCGAAACTAGAACAACGGAATGAATTGCTCTAAGTTGAGTTTGGTTCATATGCCTAACCCTAAAAGGTTCATACCCCTTAGAGGGTGCTCCACTACAGCCTACAAGCATATAGAATGTTTTGACACACCCCCATAGGCCAAGTGGGGAACAGCAAGAACAAGAAGCAGTCACAAGACCAATCAAGAGAAGCAACAAAGCAGAGCTCAGGGTGGTTCTCAAGATCACCACACAGTCCAAGCACAAGAAAGCGGTCACAAGGCCAGTTCACATGCAGTGCTATAATAGCACAAGCAGTATAGTGAATACATATAAGGCAAAGATGTTGGGCTGAGAAAAGCCCTTAGGATCTTTACAAGACTAAATTCTGAGTAGGACAATGTAATAGCGGAAGCGTTTTAATGAAAGGTTGTGAACCACCTTGCGCTGGTATGTGAGGGCAAAGTAGATTGATTGATAGCAAAGAGATACAAGCTTTTATAAGAATACAAGGGAATATGAAGGGTTATAACTAATAACTGTTTTACCATTGCTGTTGCGGTTCGGTACAGTGACGACTCGGGCAACTGCTCAATAACGAGTCAGTTGTTTGTCCTTGCTGTCGCGCTGTACTTGTCAGGTCAAAGGTCGCTGACCTTTGACTTTCGCGTAACCTCCAGCAGTTGTTCAACCTCCGAGGGTTGACTCGCTGATGCTTCGATATGTTCTTCTTCGCTTCTGACTTGGTGTTTCGACACGACAGAGGCGCTTAAATCAATTGTTTCCAACACTCCCCTTCGCTTTTGGAGTGTCGCTGCTGGTGACGTGGCTTTGTCCAGTCAGCAGCATGCAGTACTCGAACTTCTGCTTCCCGAGCTTCTTGGTCAAGTAATCAGCTGCCATCTCGGACGTGGGACAGTAAGACAGCTCAAGTCTCCCCTTTTCGATCTCGTCCTTTACGAAGAAATATCGCAGGGCGATATGCTTCGTCCTGTTCGCGAATCCGTTTTTGTTGGCTATGCGAATTGCCGACTGGTTGTCGCAGAACAAGGAGAAGATAGGTAACTGAGCCAGCTTCGCCTCCTCCAGAAGTTCGCGAAGGTATAGTCCTTCCTTGGTGGCTGAGCAGAGTGCAATATATTCAGCTTCAGCTGAAGAGAGAGCGATTAATTCCTGCTTGCTTGACTGCCAGGAGATGGGTCCGATAGGCTCGAGGCGATAGATGTAGCCGGTGCGTGAGCGTCTGTTGTCGGAGTCGCCGGTGTGATCGGCGTCGACGTAGCCGATTAGTTTAGGTGTCGTAGTCCCGTTCTTGTGGTAGGTTAAACCGACGGCTGAAGTGCTGACGAAGTAGTGGAGAGCACGGTCAAGTTCCGCCATGTGGTCTATTTCAGGTTTCTTGAGGTAGGTTGCGAGCTGACTTGCGGAGTACGATAGGTCCGGACGGCAAGTGACAGCTGCGAAGAGGAGACATCCCAGCTTTCTCTGGTAGTCGCGTATGCCGGCGGGCTTTAGTGGAGCGGATCCTGCCTTGTTATTTCCTGCCGTGTAGCGGTATGGCGTAGAGATGGTGGTCGGTGTGAATGCGAAGCGTTTGGCGATAGTGTCGGCGTATTTTGCGGCGTTGAGGTTGATCGCGCCTTCTTCTTCCTGGATGTTGAGGCCGAGGTACTGCGTGACGGTAGATGAGACTGTGAGCGTGAGGTCTTTCTGTAACTCCCCTTCGAACCAGGTAGTGACGTTGTCGGTCGACCCGATGTAGAGTAGATCGTCTACGTAGACGATTAGTAGAATATAGTCGTCGCCTTTTGTGAGCCGGTACATGCCTTGGTCGTGCGGTAGCTGTCGGAATCCGATGCGAGTAAGTCGAGCGTGTAGGTACTGCTGCCACAGTCTCGGGGCCTGTTTGATGCCGTACAATGACTTCAGCAGCTGACAGACGTGATTAGGTTCTCCATGGGAGCCGTGTGGGAGTTCAACGAAGATTTCGGCATCAACAGGTGCGTAGAGGAATGCATTGGCGACGTCGATTTGCCGCAGTTTCTTTTTCTTCATAGCGGCGATCGCGAGGAGAATTCGTAGTGAGGTGTGTCGGCTGACCGGGGCGAATGTCTCGGTGAAGTCGCGTCCATGTTCTTGGTCGAAGCCGCGTACGACCCAGCGCGCTTTAAAATTGTCGATGGTGCCGTCTGCCTTTGTCTTCACACGGAAGACCCACTTCCCGGTGAGTATTGTCTTGTTTCGTGCCATGCCGATAGGGACAACTTTCCATGTATTGCGTTCCTCCAGTGCTTTCAGTTCCTTGTCCATGGCTTCACGCCATTTTTCCCTATGCTCCCCCCCCAGAGCCTGCTGAACTGTGGCAGGCTCCTTAGGAATCTCCGTGCCGTGGACCGCGGTGACGAGGCCGAGTATCTGGAGACCACTCTGTGTGTAGCGGGGGAGAGTTGTGTCTGCGGGATAAGCTGCTTCGTCACCTGCTTCTGGGTCAGGTAAGAAGTTGGGCCCTATGCGTTCTGCTTCGTTGGTGTTGACTTCTGCAGGTGTAACGTAACCGTTGTCGGCGAAGTGGTAAAATACTTCGGCGTTGGCGCTTTCGCGAGGATTTTCGTCATCCATTGGGGCGTCGACGGAGCAATAAGGGAGAGGTCCGGCTTCCTCCGAGGCTTCATCCACGTTCTACTCGTCCCAGTCAGCTTCGTCTGCTGCCGAGGCGAAGGCTCGGTCACCACGGAAGCCACCTGTGGGGTCGCGATCTTCTTCCAGGTTGGCAAGATACGTCGGAAGGGTGAGTCGTTCGTAGAAAATGACATCACGTGCTGCTACTGTTTCTTTGGAGTGGACGTCGAAAATCTTCCACGCGTTGTAATTTCTTTCGATGCCCAGGTGTAGTCCCCACTGTGCGCGTTGGGAAAATCGGCCGGCTCGTGCAGATGGGGGTCGGTACTGTACCATGCAGCCGAAAACTCTTAACATTTTTGTGCTGCCCTGTTTTCCTGTCCACAGCAGATGCGGTGATGTGTTGTTCGGTAGTGATGACGACGAAAGCAAGTTGTGCAGCATGACAGCGTGGTCCATCGCCTCAGGCCATTGGTGATTGGGCAGTCGCATGCCATGCAGTAATTTGCGCATGGTGTTCTGGAGAGTTCAATTCATCCGTTCTGCCACGCCTTGCTGTTGATGGGCGTAGGGAAGCGAGATGAACCTCTTGATTCCTCTTTCTGCCAAGAACTGCTTGAACCTCTATGAGGTGTATTCTCCTCCTCCGTCTGACTGAAAGCCTTTTAGTTTCACGCCTGATTCTCGTTCTGCTACTGGGAGCCAAGCGACGAAGGCCTCGAAAGCCATGTCCTTGCTTGGAAGATTAAGGTGCCAAACGTAACGCGTAGCGGCTTCGATGAATGTGATGGTGTAGCTGTATGCTCCTTGTCCAGGTTCGCGATTGTACAGGATATCGCTGTACACTTTCTCAAGTGGTGCGTAAGTTGGTGCGCTGGGGTTGTGGTGAGAAGCGAATGGCCGATGTGGTAAGTCAGCTTCGGGGCAGGTAAAGCACATTCCACGCGCTCGTTGAAGTTCGCTTCCATCGGTTAGGAGCAGTGAATCTTTGTCGAGTACTCCTGCTCTGATTGTGTTGTTTAACACCGTGTTGCTTGGATGTCCCATTCGTGCGTGCCAGATGTCTTCGCTAGCTCGATGTCCGGGTGAGCGACGGTACAAATCAGAGTTGGAATAGAAGCTTGCGGTGAAGTTTGCGCTTCGATGTACTTCTCGTGGTGTTGGGTTAAGCTGCTGCGCAGGAGTCGGTGGAGTGTCGTTGATTGGAGTGTTGTCGATTGGAGTCGATGCAGTTGAAGGACCAGCGATTGGTGTCGATGTTGCCGTTGTTGCTGCCGTTGTTTCTGCTGCTGTCGATGTTGTCTCTGCTGCTGCCGGTGTTGTCTCTGCTTCTGCCGGTGTTGGTTCTGCTGCTGCCGAGTGTTGAATTGTTGCTAATGCTCTTGGTCGTTCTGCCTCAGGGATGGTGTGCGAGTACCAGAAGCCTTCTGGACTAAAGTTGGGGTCGAGATCCGGTGGATGTGTCCAGGAGGTGAAAGTGACAATCCCGTCGCTGTCAGCAGTGCCAAGATCTGGGACGAAGTCGAGGACGAAGACGTTGTTTTTCAGGACCGCTTTCCCGATGTAGAGACCGCCCTTCCCGTGGTATAACTTGAACTCCTGAGTGGTGCTATTTGCTTCGAGGTGGATGCCCTTCGCCATCAGTTGACTGATGCTCAGTAGGTTGTAACCGAGCCCTTCTGCTATTAAAACCTTCGACATCTGCACTATGACGTTTGTTTCTCGTGACTGAAGTTGCACTACGCCTTGTCGTCGTGTGCGCAGATTCTGATTGTTGGCGACGGTGATGACGACCTCGCGTTGAAGTTGGTGTTCACGTTGAACAAAGCGTCCTGAAGAGCACATATGCTGTCCGCAGCAGCTGTCTAAGAACCACGTATCTTTTCCGGACGGCTCGCTTTGAGCGATGGCTGCATACGTCGGATTTGGTTGAAGTGACTCGCGGCGAGGCGTGCTGTTGTCGAGTTGCGCTTCCGGTGAGTAATGTGGTGGTAACTCTGTGATGCAGGAGTCGGTCAGTCGTGCCATGCAACTGACGATGTTTCTTGTTCCTTGCGCAGGTTGTCCCGTCGATGTTGTTAAGCCTTGTACTTGAGAGGTCGGATTCGGTTGTGTTGAGGCGACTTGACTGCTTGAAGGGCGAAGTGGCGGGTTTGGGCAGTGTGTACGGGGGTGACCTGGCGTCTTGCAAAGGTGACAGAACGGAGGTACTGGTTTCGGTTGATGCGATAGTTGTTGTTGTTGTAACGCC